TAGAACGTGGACGCTATAGCAGTGACCCCAGGAGCAGATGCCAGTGCTTTGCAGCACAATAGAATGACTGCCTGTTTGTGTATTGTGCGTTTTACAGCGAAGCAGAAGAGAGGAATTTAAAGGCCCCTAGCACACAGAAATGATCAGTGTTTGCGGAGGAACTGCTAATCGCCCTAACCCATCACTGCACATTGTGAACATGAGTCTTCATGCTGGTCTCCACAGTTATGTCCAGCTGTCATAAATTAGTGAAAAATCAAGAACATTTTGGTTATACACACACACACACAGCCCTCTGGCTCTTCAGATCCTGTATCCATAGATAATGGATTCGGCTCAGCTGCAGGGATATTTCAACTGCAGGTTGAATCTGTCCCTCCCTCTGCAGGTTTCCTCAAGGCTGTATATGGGAGCCAGTGACACCAAGGACACAAATATCATAAATATCTGGTTTTCTGTGCCCGCAGGTGGGACCCTGGAGCCAGTCCTCCATGGGCAATATTAAGGAATGACTATTCCACTGGATTAAGAGCTAAAGTTCATATGGTAAATCCAGGACGAAGGACAATAAAATGCAGAAATCAAAGCACTTATGGATCAAGGAGAACAGCCATAATATGTTATTAAATAGAGAGATTACTAAATGGCACTTCTCCCCTCTTAAGGCAAAGGGCAGCAGCAAGCATCTGCCCTGTGTGGGGTGGCAGGACTTGGACTTCCTTTCTTGTGTCTTTAAACTGTAGGAAGAAACCTCTTCTTTCTCAGCATCACCAAGCAAGCCTGGTGATTGACCCTCCCCAGCCCCTGGTGGCACCCACTTGTCTGCCCCTGTGTGTGTCACCAACATTGCTGTGGAGCTGGGCTCAGGAGAAAGCTGGGCACAGAAAACTCCAGGCAATGGCGTCATCCAACCAACCACAGCGCTCAGTCAGCGCTCTGCGCAGCGCTTGCTGGAGTGACCATTTTAGGATAGGGAATCCAAGACAGGACAGCAACGGGATCCACACCTCTAAGATGCTGTTGCTGTGGACCACCTGTGACCTCAAGGAGGGGCCTACGCTTCTGGCCAGTGTGCTGTCTGTGTGATGAGAGCAGTAGGCTCTGAGTGTGGTGTGCTGCCGTAGCCGTGCCAAGGAGGGGACTTGGTTGCCCTTGACACAACCCTGGGGTACCTCATTGGACACACCTGGGCTTCCTGTGTTGGCCCTGCTTGGCAGGGGATAAGTGTCTGATTAAAAGCCTCTGCTTATCTTCCCATGGATACTGTCCAGCTTCCCTGTTCCTCCTTCCTGGTAGGAATGTCCATGTCTCCCTTCCTGTCTTCCCAGGACACTAGGAAATGCCCTGGAGGTAAAGATCTCAGTCTTGATGTTCCCTGTAGGGGAAATCGCTGTGTACCAGGATCCTGCTGGGGACTCATGAATGGTTCAGGAGCTCTCAGATTCTAGTGGGACCAAGGTAGGGCATGGAAAGTGTTCTGGAATGCAAATTGGAGAATTATACCAAACTCTGTCTACATTCTGGATGGGCATTTGACCTAGGCTTAAAACATTAGTTGGGGTGATTGGTCAACACCAAGCTTGTGGCACTGGCCCTGTATCAGCTGCCAGTTTGAATCCCAGCTGCTATACATCTGATCCAACTCCTTGGTAATGTACCTGGGAAAGCAGCAGCAGTGGCTCCTGTCATGCATATGGGAGACTCAGATGAAGTTCAAGGTTTTGGGTTCAACTTGGCCCATCCCCAACCCTTGCGGCCGTTTGGGAGTGAGCCAGCAGATGGAAGTTCTCTGTCTCTCTCTTTATCCCTCTCTCTCTATCACTCTGTCTTTTAAGTAAATAAAAATGATTTTTTTTTTGTTATTTATTTGAAAAGCAGAGAAACCAAGAGGTGTTCCATTTGCTGGCTCATTCCCCAGATGGCCACAATAACCAAGGTTGGGACAGGCCAAAGCCAGGAGGCGAGAGCTGCTTCCAGGCCTGCTGTGTAATTGGCAGGATCTCAAGCACTGGGACCATCCTTTGCTACTTTTCTCAGGCCATTAGTGGAGAGCTGGATTGGAAGTGGAGCAACCAGGACTCGACTGGTACCCACATGGGATGCCATCTCTGGACCCAAAATGAGTCTTTTTAAAGAAATGATTTCTTTTTTATTTGAAAGGCAGAGTTACAGAGAAGAGAGATTAAAATCTTCCTTCTGCTAGTTCACTCCCCAGATGGCCACAATGGCTGGTTCACATGATTCTCAATCCATGCGAGACCATCCAAAAATGTTTCTGGGTCTCTCACAGGGGTGCAGGGGCCAAGGACTTGAGCCAGCTTCTGCTCCTTTCTCAGTCCCTAAGCAGGGATCAGAAAGTGAAGCAGCCAGGACACAAACTGGCACCCACATGGGATGCCTATGACACAGTGAAAGGTTTAGCTTACTACCCTGTGGCACCGGCCCCCAAAATGAATCTTTAAAAAAAAAAAAAAAAGACCTTGGTGTCTCACACTGAGTACTTGAGTGTGATCCCTGACCTCAGCTCTCGACTCTACTTCCTGCTGATGCTCACCCCGAGGAGGCAAGCGTGACAGTCCCAGGAGTGGACTCCCCACCACCCATGTGGGAGACCTGGTTTGCAATTCCAGCCACCGGTTTTGTCCAGGTCCAGTCCTGGCTACCGCCAGCATTTGGAGAGTTAGCCCACAGACAGGAACTCACTCGCTCTCTGTCTCTTTCATCTTCTGCTTCTGTCTTTTTCATTCTGCAAAAAGTACCCACATACAGTTACCATATGAACCTGCTTTTAAAAATCTCAGCATGACTGCACACACCTCTGCAGAAAGAGGTCTCTAGCATAGCAAGTTATAGCGAGGATGGAAGGCGATGGTCTGTAGGGGCCCGCAGTGGCTCTGGGTAGGAGCATGTGCAGTGCTTAAGAGTGAGCTGTTAGTGGCAGAAGATATGTGTGCTGTGCTGTCAAAAGAGTAAGTCACATTGACCTTTACAGTTAGTGTTCTTTTTGCTTATTTTCACTCACGTGGAAGGCGGGGCTGATGTGCTTTGCTTCATGTGTGGGTAGGAATTGGAGTTGGAGAAGCCAGTTAGGCATAGGGTAGGAGAAGGCTCTGCTTCACTTCCTGCTCCCTCCACAGACTAAAGTCACAGGCAGGCCATCCAGTTTCTGCTTTTCACTCTGTCTTTGAATAGTGGTTTTAGGTTCACCACAGAACTGAACAGCAGGTCCAGGAAGAGCTCGCAGCCCCACTTGCACAGCGCCCCCTGTAGGGGGTCCGTTTGTTACAGCCAGGGGACCTACCTACATTAACACTGACTGTCACTCATAGCCCCACTTGGCATTGTCCAATCTATAGGCTTAGGCGGGTGTGCGATGATATGGCACCACCACCACAGCTTCATACAGAAGGGGTGAGATAGTGTTTGCTGCTCGACCCTCCCCACTCCCAGCTCATATTCCACTGTCTGGAATGCCATCACCCCCCACAGCACACCGTCTACCCAGCACACAAAGGCCACCCAGAGCAGTTGCTTAGGAGTAAGGCTTCAGGTTGTTGCATGAAAGTGAGTGTTCAGTACCTTGGGTGACTCCCAAGGAGTGTGCTGCCAGCATACATGGTAAGGCTGTTTGGTCTTGAGAAAGACTTGCATTCCCAGGAGTTCCAGTTGCCCCATCAGTGTTCTGACAGGTGTACAATGGGGTCTCATGATAGGGTTAATCTGCGTGTCCCCAGACATGTGGGATAGGACCTGGGGGTAGATATGAGGGCCGGCCAACTCAGATGTGGGGCGCTGGCATCTTAACTGCTAGACCAAACACCTGCCCGTGTCCATCACATTTTTAATTTAAAAAGCACTCCCCAAATACTAATACATTATCTTCCAAAAGAGCATCTTTAACTATACTATTCACAATCCAGAGTTAACAAACCACTATAGGTAGTAACAGATGGCTATCCCAGCCAATAGAATTCCACAACTCTCAAAAAGTCCTCCCATAGATGTAAAGCCCCAGGAAGCTAGCAAAGCAGAGCCTCTGCTTCCTGGCTCATTGCATGCTGTGGTGAGGAGAAACGGTATTTTCAGGGACCATTGGACACCTCCTGGACCTGGGCCTGGGCCTGAGTCTGGCCCTGGGAAGGGCCTTTTCCTATTTTGGATTTTTGTTGTTGTTGTTCTTTTTCTGGAAAAATGCCATCTCAGTTTTGTGGCCAAGTGCAAGCAGATCCACCCCCACTGGAACCCACAGTCATGGCCATGAACATCGGTGTGCTGGGCGGCAGTACCGCAGGAGGAACAGGTGCAGTGAGCATAAGGCCCTGGAGTGACTCTGGCTTCCTGCGGGCACCTGGTGCTGGTGCAGAGCTGGGTGTCTTCCAACAAGGATCTCAGGTATAAGCATCAGGTTCTGGCCAGTAAAAGAAAATAGATGCTCTTATCAGAATGACTGAGGCAGGCCTGCCCCAACACTGTGGACAGGCCCCATGGTTCCTTGAGCACACCTGCTGGGCTCCAGTACCTGCACAGGGCCCGTTCCACTGGAGCGAGTGTCAAGGCAAGGACACCTAGCCGTTGATCCTTCTGCCTGAATCAGTCACGGGTGCAGAGGCCCGTGTACGTCCTCCATGCCCACCACCCAAACCTGCTACCAGCCGCAGAAGTGTCGCCGCCCTGACACACAGAGGGACTCTCTACACCCTGGTGCCAGCCCTACATGTGAGGCCACCAATGCCATCCTTCTAGTCAGGGTCAAACCATGAGACTCAGGGTAATTCCCAGCAGGCTGTAATTGTTAAAAAGCTACCAAATTCTACCAAGGTCTTCATGGTACCAGCATGAGGGGACAGGAGAAGCATGAAGTCTGAGAGGGGTAGGAACAGCGAAGTTGAGCCGAAGGGCTTTGTATTAAAAACCATTCCAATGGGGGGCAGAGGGGGGCTCACTGTCGAATGAGAGCCACACCTTGGGCTTTTGGCAATGGGAACTTCCCTCTGTTGCAGATCTCTCCAAGGCTTTGGTTCTGACAGAGATCGGCCCCCGGCGGGACCCTGCCACCCTGAAGCTGTTCCTGAGCAATATGGAGCGGCTGCTGCACGCCAGGGCCCACGGGTAAGGAACCCAAGCTCTTGATTCAGCCTGCTTCCTCTTGTGGAAGCCAGGGGGTGCCAGGAGACCGGTGGAGTCCCGTTTGCCTTCCCACCCTTGTTCTGGAAGAATCCAAGTTAGGATCTTGAGCCCTCTGCCCGGGAATGCCACAGCTCCTTCGGGTCCTGCTCCATTGACCTGGCTTGCAAACCTTCGTTCCCTGGCCACTCCAGGATAATGTCTGTGGAATTCCCATACCAGCCCCCAGGACCTTTCTGCAGGGCAGGGCACAGAGGTCCTGGCAAGGGGCACAGCCCCCACCCTACATGCTGTATCCTGAGCCTGCTGGTGCAAGCCCTACCCAGCCAGGGCATGAGGAGGGTGAAGGCAGTGCACACTTCACACGAAGACCTGGCTCGGCTTCCACCCTTACTGGTCCTTCCCTCTCCCACAGGGTCCGAGTAATCGGAAGCTCCACCTTGGCACTCTGCCACCTGGCCGCTGGGGCTGCTGATGCTTATTACCAGTTTGGCCTGCACTGCTGGGACCTGGCTGCCGCCACAGTCATCATCAGGGAAGCAGGTGGCATCGTAATGGACACTTCAGGTGAGTTCTGAGCCCCAGCCACCCTCACCACCTGGGGGCCATGTGGATGGGATATTCCCTGGCACTCCCGCACACACACACACTGAATACCCCCTGCCTCACAGCTCTGCTGCTGACAGCTTGTGCAGCGAACGCAGTGGTCAGCAGGGCTTAGCCAGCTGGCAGCATGTCCACTTCACATTACATATCCCTAGCCTTTTGTTGAAGACTTCTGCATGTGTCTGGGTCCCACTGGACCCTAAAATCAAGCCCCTGCCTCCCAAGCCCTGGGCACAGGACCGGCCCAGCTGGATTTAAGGGAACTGGGCTTCTAGGAGGCCAAGTGAGCCGTGGGCATGTCTGTGGTCCCTGGTATGGCTGCTTTGCCTTAACAGACTGTCCTTGTAACATCTAGGAATAGTAAAGGCTGAGCAGATCCTTCAGACACTTTGTTCTCTCCTAGCTTTGAAGCCAGAACTTAGCTGTGGGGACCCTGTGGCTTCTTCTTCTTTTATAAGATTTACTTATTTGAAAGGCATAGGGACCAAGAGACAGAGAGAAAGAGAAGTATCTTCCATCCACTGGGTTACTCCCCAAATGGCTGAGCTGCCAGGGTCGAGCCATGCCAAAGCCAGGAGCCAAGAGTCACATAGGATAGGCACCTGACCAAACAGTTAAGATGGCCAGGAGCCTGGAATTCCACCCAAATCTCTCATATGGATGGCCAGGGCCCAAATACTTGGGCCATCCCCTGGTGCTTTTGGAAGCCCATTAACAGGGATCTGGATCTCAAACCAGCACTCCAGGGTGGGATCTGGCATTGCAAACAGTGGCTTTTAACCTGCTGTGCCACAGTGCTGGCCTTTTTCATATATATATTTTTTTTAATTTGAGAGGCAGAGAGAGAATGTGTGCGTGAGCTCCATCTGCTGGCTTACCCCCTTGGATGCCCACAACAATCAGGACGTGGCCAGGCCGATTCAGGTCTCCATGTGGGTGGCAGGAACTCAGCTACTTCGGCCATTGCCTGCTGCCTCCCAAGGTCTCCAGGAAGCTGGCATCAGAGTGGAGGTGGGACTCAGGCCCAGACGCTCCAGAGTGGGATGTGGCCATCTTAACTGTGAGGCTAGGTGCCTATTCTATGTGACTCGCTTCTGACTCTTGAGTATTTGCAGTAGGTCTTTGGTGATATAATTTCTACTTCCCACTCCCTTTTTTCCTTTGAAAGGCCTTTATTGAGGTGCCAGAAATGTATTCAAGTAAAGAGGTATCCATGTCAGGGGTGGGAGCCAGCATCATATTACCAATACATCCTGCTCCACACAAGCACCTTGAGGCCCTGTCTCCAGGCACAACGATGACAGCCAGCCTTCCCTGGGTGCAGTGTAACCTGGGCCCCATTCCGTTCACGCTCATCGTTTGAATTTCCCCCGTTGTGACCCTCCCGCCATACAGCACAGGCCTGAAGCCTCGCCCTCTGTACAGCCCCGGGCCTTTGGCCACACTACCCTCTGCTCTCAGGACCACCTGTCTGAGACAGATGGGGGACATGCATGATTCTCGTGTGTGCTGGAAGTTGTCATACAAGATGGTTCTAGCCCAATGCAGTAACCGAGGTGTTCACTTTTCCCTGTGTTCCCAGGTGGACCTCTTGACCTCATGTCCTGCAGAGTGGTCGCTGCCGGCACCCGGGAGATGGCAACGCTTATAGCTCAGGCCTTACAGACTATCCACTATGGGCGAGACGATGAGAAGTGACAGGTCACCTCCAACACGGAGCAGCATGGCTGGAGGATGAGGACATGGCCTTCTGGGGGCTACAGGGCTCTGGGGACAGGGCCTGGTGGCCTGGGCTCTGGCCAGGCGTCTCATCTACTGACCCTGGCTTCTCCCACTTATGTCTTTTGTCACTGGGGTCTGGTGGTTGGCCAGGTCCTCACTCTGATCTGACACAGCAGCCATCTTCAGGTCGGTCCCCGTCCTCCTGTCCCTCACAGGGGACGTACAGTGGCCTCACCGCGCTCATTTCCCCCCCAAGGCACATCTCAGGTAATAACGCTTTGGAACTGCTGGTAAAGCTGTCTTCTCAGGCCTTCCCCGGGTGCTTCGGATTGCAATAAACAGACACAAAAGCACATGCTGTGTGTGTCACCAGCGTAGCTGCAGCTCTGGGCTCAGTGTGGGGAAACCCCGAGTGACAATGTTGTCCAGCCGACCGACCTTGGCCCTGGGTCGGTGCTCTGCACAGCGCTTGCCGGTAGTGACTGGAAGGATTGACAATCCAAGATGGGGACAGAGGGCTGCAGGACTTGGAGATGCTGCTCCTGTGGGTAGATTGAGAGAAGAAGGTGTCCCCTCCCTCTGGGGCTCACCGTCCCTCTCCCGGGAGGTGGACTCTTGCATGACAGGGTTCTGCCTCGAGCTAGGGCATTGAGGAGGAGATTGGTCTCAAGTCTGAAGTGCTTGCTCTTTACTTCCTAGCCTGCCAGCAGCAAGTACCCAGCTGTGCCCCCTCAGAGACCCAGCCACAGGGGGCTCAGGCACCTCTCAGCATCTGCTGCTCCAGGGAAGACCCCTGAGGACCTGCTCAAAGCAGACACCACCCCCACCCCATTACAACAATTCTGCCAGAACATCTTTGGGGCAATAAAATCCTCAAATGTCTTAAGGCCCTTAGGTTGTTTTGGGGGGTAAATTTGGTATCCAAAGGGAAGAATTTCCTTTTCTGGTCTCAGTGGGGTGCAGGTGAGTACTGAGGGCCATATTGGAGCAGTGGGCTGGAGGGGGGCAGGAAGGCCTGTGCAGGGAAGGTGGGCGACTCATCCTTGTACCTGATAACCACAGGAGCCTGGGACATGGCATGTGAGCCACAGTGTTGGGGTCAAGTGGGGTCGTCTCTGTGATTCTGTATAGGAAACCCCTTGAAACAGGGAAAGAAGCAGGGGGCAGGGTGCATCTTGGTGTTAGTAGATACAAGGAAAAAAGGTGTCGTGGCTGGAAGTTGGCAGGGGTCGGCTTCAGGGTGGCTGGGGCCGTTCTGCCTCCTCCCACCAGTTGTGCTCTGTGCCACCCTGCAGTACCAAGTGACTGCTAGAGGGAATCAGGGACCTCAGGGCCAACTGTGGCTTCCCTCTCTCCCGCATCAGATGCCAGCCCATGAGCTGCAGAGCTGCCTCCCCGCCAGGCCTCATGGGCACTGGGTATACAGCTGGCAGGTGCCTGGCGTATAGCCAGTTCTCAGTAGCTCTGAGCTCTTCACCTGGTTCAAGCACTTTGTGCCAGTCCTGGCTCTGTCAGGGCACCCGAAGCAGCTGTTTGACAGACACTGCATGGAGAGAGGGCTCAGCAGTGGCTAGCAGCAGCAGTTCTGTTCGTGCCAAGATAACATCAGGATGCCAGGAAAGGCACTGTGTTGCCCTCTAACCCCAGCAGACTGGCACCTGCTTATTCTCGAACTTCTCTGCCACCAAGCAAAGTCCCAGCCCGGCCACTGCTGTGTGTCACAGACAACTCGGCAACTGCACCAGGTTCTGCTTGGTGAGTATTGACTTGCTATGTTCCTTGTGGTTTTGTTTGTTTGTTTTTCATTAGGGGGAGTTTAGGACTGGGCCAGAATGAAGTCAAGAGCTGAGAAACTCAATCCAAGTCTCCCACCTGGGAAGCAGGAGCCCTAGTGTCTGAGTCATCCTCGCTCCCTCAGGGCCCACACTGGCAGGAAGCCAGAGCCACCGGACCAGATGCCCGAGCTGGGGTAGCTGAGTACCGTGGGTGCTGTTACTACTGCTCCTCAAGGATCCCAAAGAGGTGCTCCCGGAGCAGTGCCACACGTCACTGCGGCTGCAGTGCACCATACACACGGGAGTTTTGTCACATGTGACCAGCACGTGACATCCATAAGTAATGCCTATGCTTCCAGTGAAATGCGTGTGTGTGTGTTTGCAACATAGATGTGCATTACAGCACTCCGTTAGAAGCTATGTGTGAGGATCCAGCACAATAGCCTAATGGCTAAATCCTCACCTTGCATGCCCAGGATCCCGTATAGCCGCTAGTTTATGTCCTGGCTGTTCCACTTCCCTTCCAGCTCCTAGGAAGGCAGTCAAGGATGCCCAGAAAGCCTGGGGACCCTGCACCTGTGTGGGAAACCTGGAAGAAGCTCATGACTGCTACCTTCAGACTGACTCAGCTCCAGTCTTTGCAGCCTCTTGGGAAGTGAACCAGTGGGTGGAAGATCTTTACACACACACACACATGGCAATGCGGGCCCTTTGGGGTGTGGAGGTGCGGGCTTGCAGGGGGCCTAGAGAATGGTGCCAGCTGAGGCATGCATGGACCCAGGAGCTCACACCAAGGCAATTGGAGTGAGCCTGGGGATTGCCCCATGTGCTTGGTCCCAGGAGGGGGGGGAGAGGAAAGGAGAGCCCCAGGTTAGCGTGGTGGGCTGGTGGACCTGGCTTGGGGGATTTTGAATGGGCTTGGAACTTGAGTGGGCAGAGGAGTAAGTTCTCAGGCCAGCGCACAGGCCAGAAGCTTGAGACCCTAGTGGGTGGGCAGAGTTCCAGGCCAGCACACCACCGCACTGGAAGATCGCGCTTTGAATACTGGGCTAGGAAACCCATGTATTTCCAGGTACAAGGACTGTGGCTTGCCCAGAGAAGAGGTAAGGAGTGTGGGAGGGAGAACGGCTGAGGGGGTATGTTACAGGTGAGGATTGACTCCTGAGGGACTTCTATCAACGAGGGCATTGTACTTGCATTTAATTGAAGGGGCAGGGACCAAGTGGCTTGGCGGGGAGAACTGGAGGACCTTTAAGAGTCAGACCAACGCACCAGCCCACATGGGAGACCTGAGCTGGGCTAGTTAACATTGGTCACTGATAACCACTCACTGGCACACACTAAAGCTAGGGCCGGGGGCCTACTTGGCAGAGCTGGATCACAGTACCTACCAGTCAGAGTCAGAACAAGGGGTGGTAGACTGGGTCATGACACCAACACAAGAGAGAATCAGGTCTGGGATCAGATTCTGTTGGGGATAATGTGGACCCACCCCTGTAAAACTGCAATTTCCACTGGTTTGCTTAAGAGCTGGGTTGGTGAAAGGCTGAGCTAGGCATGACCATGGAACCTTCCAACACTCATGAGTACTGGGGTTGGGAAAAGGCCAGGCTAGTCCAGGCGGCAGCACCCATAGTCACACCAAAGAAAAGGGTGTGGGATGGGCTGAGCTGCAACATCCACCAGCTCATACAAAGGCTGGGTAAGGGACTAGCACCCACTAGAACCTGTGAGATCTGGGAGTGGGCCTGGTGCAAGAACTTGGAAACTCCCCTGGTGGGCCATAGCTCCCACTGGTGAGCAAGTGATTCAGGCCTGGGTGTTGGTCAGGCCAGGCAAGGTGGCTCCACCCATCAGCAAGTGTGTAGGTTGGTTCTGGAGAGGGCAGATCAGGCATGGCTGGGCCAACCTTAGCCCACTGGCACCAGGCTGGAGTGTGGGTCATGCCAGGATAGGCTATCATACTTACCAGTTTGCACGAGTCAGCAATGGGAACATATTGGGCAGGGCTAGGTTGCAGCACTTGCCAGTGAAAGTTGGGACTGGGGAGGGCTGGGACAGGCTTGGTTGGGGAACTAAGGGGATGCCCCAGCTGCGTTGTGGTTCCCACTGGTGAATATGAGAACTGTAATGGGGTAGTGATCTGGGCTGGACATGGCTGTAGTTTCTCTTGGCATGGATATGTACTGGGTCCTGGATGTGCCAGACTGGGCTAAACTCCAGCACCCATTCGCACTCATGAGAGCCAGCGTGGGTGTAGGATACACTGGGTTAGGTCTTTTCACCCGCTGAACCATGTGAGAGCTGTGTCCAGGCGTGGGCCTGATGTGGCGGGGCTATAGCATCCAACAGTAAGAACTGGAGTGGGCATGGGCTGGCTTGGCAAGGCCACTGTTCCTACCAGGACAGGGGGTGAGTAAATCAGTCTGGGTCAAGGACCCACTGGTGTGCACAAAATCTGTCACTGGAAGGAGACCTGAGAGCTTGGGGGACTCCTTTGTCAGGACACAGTCCCAGCAGGTGAGTGCAGGAACCAAGGCTGGGAGCGGCCCAGATAGTACACCAGGCACAATACCCAGCAGCATATGTGTAGTTCAGGTCTGGGGTGGGCCAGGCTGGCTCCGGTCATATCACCCACTGACAGACCTGAGAAACAGGACAGAGTTCAGGACAGTCCGGATCGGGCTGCAACACAAGCTAGTTCACATTAAGGCTGGGCTGGGCTGCTCTGTAGCCCCTACCAGGATGATTTAGAACTGGGCACAGGCCGGGCCAGGTCAGCCTACAGCAACAACAGGCAAATGCCAAGGTGAGGCAAGCTGTGCCAAACTGGGCTGAAGCACACAACCACCACACATGAGATCCCCATGGGAGGGGTGGCGGCGGGAGCAGTCAAAGCCAGTAGAGGGGCAGAGTGGGTTCCCCTGCTGGGCCCTTGTTCCCATTGGGGAGCATGAGAACTGGCACTGGGGACAGACCAGGCCAGGCAGGGCTACTTCACATATTGGCCTGCATGTGAACTGGGTTAGGGGGGAAGCCAGGCTGGACTAAAACACCATATCCACTGATATATGCATAAGCCAGAGTTGGTGTGGGCTGGTTGGGCTTTGCTACAGCATCAGCTGGCAAGTGCTGAGACTGGGGGCAAATCTTGCCTGGCTAAACTACAGAACCACCTGGAAAACACAAGTTCTGGGAGTGGGAGTGGGCCCAGTGTAGAAACTATAGGCACCTCTCTGAATGTCTGCAGTTCACACTGGTGAGCATGAGAGCCAGGGCCATGAGCAGGCCTGGTTAGACAGGCAGTGGCACCTGCCAGCATGAGTGTGGGCTGTATAGTGGGGTTGGTTGCATTGAGCAAGGCTCTAATACCCATTGATATGTACAAGAGCCGAATGGGATGTGGCACACTGGACCAGTCTGCTGCACATACTGGCAAGCACAGGAACCAGGGCTGAGGGCAGGTCTGGTGGGGTTATTGGGGGTCACTCCATCTGAGCTGCAGTTCCCACTAGTGTATGTGAGTGTATGTGGAAGCAAGTGACAACAGAGAGATCTGCCTGCATTTGCTGATTCTT